ATCCACACCCGTGAGCAATGTAGTTATACCCACCTAATCCCATGTGTGGACAGTGCTATGAGGCGGGAGAGCTTCTCCTGCCAACATAGCTACCACTTCTCGAGGAGGTGGATTAACTGTGGCAAAGGGAAAGCTCTCTCCTATTGGCTTAGAGCATCTTCATTAAAGTGCTACAGCGGCACAGTGTTTTAAGTGTAAACTTGCCCCTAGTATCGATGAAGCTTATACTGGCAAAAAAAAGTGTCTTTGCTGATATAGTTTAGATACCATTTCACCAATAACTAGGCTAGCAAAAGCTCTTTTATGCCAGTATAACTTGATCTGTGCAAGGAGGGTTTTGCTGGCATAAAAATACCATCAAAAATCACACCCCTACCTGATGTTGCTATGCTGGTAAGTTTCTAATGTAGTCCTGACCTTTGCCTTTAAGGGGTATATGATATGGCTTGTTCTGACCTTATTCCTCACTTCCTCTCAGCTGATATCGAGGAGTGGGAGACAGCCATTCAGGACTATCTTTCTTCACTCCACTACATGAAATGAGCCTTTCTTCACCAGGGGACTGAGTCTCATTTTGCCTTTAAAGATTTGTACTGTCCTTTGTTTACAGCATCAAGGATTTGCATAAATGCTAGTCTTTAAAGTTATTCATTTTGATATTTATTTATAAAAGATGGAAGAATGCATATTCATTTAGAAGAAAGTCAAAACCGATTCTGAGCTCTATCAAGAGTATGACAAAGGCTCTGTTAGGCTATAAACAGGTAAGTCAACAACTCAATAAACAAGCGATACCCCTAGTACAAGTCACTGGGATTGGATTTCTCATGATAAAATCTTCTTTTGTATGCAGTAAAACTATTTTTGTCCAAGGAAAGTGTTTATTTCTTTTGTATTTTGTAAACTGCTCACCTGACATTATTCTGAGAAACACCAGTACCATGCGTGTATTTTGTGAATGGAACAGTTACTCCTGCCGTTTTCCCAACCCAACAGATATTTGATCAGGAAAGGGCTGTGTTGAAAGTTCTTATATACTGGTATTTGCTGAAGCACTATTGCATGTTAAGAAAACAGAGTGGTGCTTGAACTATGTGGGTGCCTCCATGAAGATTGGACAGTGCACTAGGTTATTTCCAATAAAAAATAATAATTTTGCATCAGAATGGACTTGCAGCAAATAAATTGACTTTTCAGTTGCTCTGTTAATCAATTTTTAGATTGAACCATATAAGATAACCTACTCTAGTTAGAATTATTCAAATAACTTTTGTCTTTCCTTGGTCTGTTCTATCAAAACTTAAGCCTTCCACAACTAAGCACTTGATTGAGGAGTCAAAAATATTTGTTTTCTGATTATGTTTGGGGGGTTGGGCCAATAGCTTTATTTAAAATCTATAATTTGTGAATTGCTTACCAGAGACGCATGAGATGAATGACATAGCCAAGTTTTAGGGAGCGTAGTCATTACTCATACTCACTGTCACAGTTCAGAGTGACTGCACCTTAGTGGTCCAGCAGGGGCACCCACTCTCACCTTGCAGCTCCCCTGCTGTTGCCTTTCTAGTGGAGACCCTATTTCTCTCTCTTCTGATCAGGGTATTTCTAGGCTGTACAGTTCCCTGCCTTCACTGTGCTGTTCCCACTATAGACAGATTGCACAATGACACCTGCTTGCTTTCTCTTCAGAGATGGTTATCCGGTATAATTGCTACAGTTATAAGATACCACCCAATACTTCCTATGCAACCATATTTTATTCTTAAGGTAAAAGGCATTACAGAGACAACATATTAAAACAATAAAAGAACCTACATGTGTGCAAATAAGCTTACCAGAGTATCCCCCAACACTAGCACGAGCTCTGGCAAGAGCAGTCCTTCAGTACCCCATCCACAGGGTTTCCTTTGTGGTGACAAGTTTATCACAGCTTCAGCTCAGAACAAACACACAGTCTTATGGGGCCACTCCTTCCAATCTTTCACTAAGTTTTGGAGCCCTCCGTGAACCCTGGGTCCTATCTGTTTGCTGGATCAGGAAGAAGGCCCTGAGCCAGTTTAAAAACAGGCTATTTATCCAAAAACCCTTTCTTTGTCTGTTGTTCCCTGGAAAATCCAGTTTGAAGGGGTATGTGAACCTCTTGGGGGGGAGGTTTCAAAGGGCTTATAAAGGAGGAAGTATATGAGCATCCCCCTCCCTACTGAAAAGGTACATACAGTGCCCAAATAACACATACACAATTGCACTTTTAATACAATGTACCCCAAAAGTATTAACACTAATTCAGTAAGGTTTAACTTAATTTCATAAAGTGTATTTAGGGTATAGTAGGGTAACATGAGCTCTGTCAGTTTGTCACATCCACTTTGTAGAGATTGCTGAATTAGAAACCACCTGCTGCTCAGTATGAATATCTAAAATGGAAAACACCGACCAAACATCATTCTCCCAACAGGAAATGGAAGGGACCTTGCTTTCAGAAGTATTACCCCAACCTTCTCTCAAAAGTTGCGAGCAGGCAGACCAGGATAGGAATATTAGCTCAGTGGGTGTGGGGGTGATATTTTTTTGTGGGGAAGAGGGGGTTAGGGTAGGGGTGGAGGATTGCGGTGCTATACCAAGCTAAACTGCTGATTTCCTTTACAGTTTTGCATTCATGGGCTAGACAGTCTAGCAAAGTCAGAGAGGTCTTGTGTGGGTATTTCCCCATTTTTTAATGAGTAGAAACACTGAAAATCAATCATTACTGTGTATTGTCTTGCATGCTCTCCCTGCAGAGATTGAATGTCTCCTGTGATCCACTTCCTATCCTGGCCTACCACAGAGCTGCACTCTATCATACTCCCTGACTGAGTCCTGTTTTCCCTTCATTCCACTTTTCCATGCATAAACTGGATTGCCCCCATATTTCACTGTCCTACACAGCTCTGCTTCTGTCAGCCCCACCCCCTCCCATTGCTCCATCTCAGAACATTCTCTGACCATGCCCATAATAGAGGAGTTAAGGGAGCATAGCAGGGGAGAGAGAACCATAGTCTTGCTTACTCATTCATATCCCTCCTCATTTCCTTTAAGGTGTGCCAGGTGAATCAAGGGGGCAGTCAGGAGTGTGGGGTGATGGTATTTGAGTGGGGGTCCGGGGCTGTCCATATGAGCTGCTGTGGATAAGAGCTTGGGGTGAATGCCAAGACACTAGTGCATCAGGGGCTCCTCACAGCATGGTATCCTCAGCCAAGGCAGCAGTGCTGGGGTCTTGATGCACCAACGCCGTAGCCCCCTCAGACCGCCTGCACATTTGGGAAATAGCAGTAGGTTGTGGTATGGTTTTACAGTGTTTGCACAGACTCTGAATTCATCTTGGCAATAGACATTGAAGTAGAAATATTTTATTACTGTCCTTTAGATCATATACATGCTAAATTGACTTGCACTATTTGCTAGTTTCTTTTATACCTGGAACATGTATTATATAGGTGAACCAGGAATATTATGAAAATTTCATATATTCCTGTAAGTTTCAACACATTTTTGTTGACCTCTTCCCTCTGCAGTTCCAGTATATAGAAACTTGATGCTGTTTTTATCCAGAGTTTTTTTTGTGTGGCAGTATATCAGGGTAGTGCTCTCTACTGGTCAGCTGTATTAAAAGAATTCTTTGCAACTTAAAAGTGGAAATGAGAAAAATGTTCATTCCCTTTCATATTTGGCAGAAATTAGTAAATCACCTTGAAATATAATTAAGCAGAACATTTCAGTGTTTTAAGACTGCTTATGCACATATCTTAAAAATCCAAAATCTAATGTCTCAGAAAGAAACTGTAATATCTTTATTGCACCATGTATCAGAAAAGTAGTATAATTTAGAGCAAATAGACAATTGTCATATCATGCCAGAAACAGGAGTGCATTGAAGATTTTGACTCCTGTTCTAAAAGTTCTTGTTTAACACTTTTCTTAGGCCCTTGCTGCAGTTCTCCACATAACTAGGCTTGAGACTCCAATAGTCTGAGTGAAGGCTTTTCCATAGTAAACTCTTCCATTGCCATTGTAGATAAGCATTAGGGGTGCTTTGTTAAACTTGTACTGAGAAAAACAACCCTGCAAAATCTATTGGTAAACAGGATTGCTGGTTGTTATTGCAGTTTCTGCTACGTTATTCCTTAAAGGCACTATTTTTATGCATCCCAAAAAAGGATCTGTGCTAACTGAACTACCATGATTTGAACAGTCCTTTGTAACCTTTTTTCTTCCATTGTTCCCGTAATCTTATGAGTCTGTTGGGATGCTGTGGCTGTCTTAACTCAAACCCGGATTGTAAACTAATTTTAACATAAATAACGATATTTTGTGTGTGATATGGAGTGGAACTATGTGTGAATATGAAGAAAAAACACACACACTATATGTTTGAAAATACACCTCTACCTCAATATAACGCTGTCCTCGGGAGTCAAAAAATCTTACCGCGTGATAGGTGAAACCGCATTATATCGAACTTGCTTTGATCCACTGGAGTGCGCAGCCCCCCCCCCCCCCGAGCACTGCTTTACCGCGTTATATCCAAATTCGTTTTATATCGGGTCGTGTTATATTGGAGTAGAGGTGTACATGGATCTGCTTATGTTTGTCTTCAAGCGTCATTCCTTGTTGCTTCTTGTACTGTGAACTCTCATCTAGAGTGCCAGATGCTCTTCTGTACTTCTTCAAAGTCTTTAATCAGTTATCTGTCCTATTTCACCCCTGCCTCAAGTATGCACCTTCATCCAGTGTATTTTCTGATCTTTGTTATCTGCCTTTAGAGTTCAGGTTCTTTGGGGCAGGCCCAGCCACACTGCCATTTTTGTTGGCTGCAAACAGAGTTTTTCCATAAGAAAATAGACGTGTGATTTATTTGTATGAAATCCTGTTGTGATAATATATATGCACTTGTTCAGGTTTCAGCATTGCATCACCCTATCTCCAGTAACAGCAGCTCTTTTGTTCCATGACCGATGTGGCAGTTTTGAACACTTCAGTAGCTTACGAAATGACCCAGAGTGGAGGAAAATATGATTTCTATATTGGTCTCGTGTTGGCTATGAGCTCCAGCATTTTCATTGGAGGGAGTTTCATCCTAAAAAAGAAGGGTCTCCTCCGGCTGGCCAGGAAGGGCTCCATGAGAGCAGGTATGGTATGCACTTGAGAACTTTTGCTTGTTTTTAATTTTATTTGAATGCTTAGTGAATGGCTACTGAATTTTCACTCTGTTTTTTTGAGTATTGATTTACTTTGGTTCCTTATTGAGAGATGAAATTTCTAGACCTAAAATATTCAGCTCCTGTATTTTCACTGGACTCTGAATTATTTCTAGTTCGTTATTAAGTATAGTAAAAGGTGAAATCCCTTTCTGTAATATATTCAGTTAGTGCCCTCTAAGTATATTTCCAAAACAAACTATAAATTTGCATATGTTAATCAAAGAACATGTCAGTTAAGAATAAACCTGGTTACATCCTACCTGCTTCCCTCTTCTGAGCTTCCCCCTGCACCTGGAAAAAGCCTGTTTAAAGAGATGATCTTCATAGTGTGATTGGAAGATCAACATACTTGCACTGTTGGAGGATGTGGAGGGGAATGAATTCTAGAGTCAGGGCCCCTACAATGGAGTGCTTGCCTCCAAGTGAACAAACCTAGGAACTGTCAGTTTGAATGTCTCAGTTGATCTCCGCTGTGGAGATAGAGATGAAAGAGGCAATTTCTAAGATACTTAGGACCCAAATCAGGGCTTTGTAGGTCTAAACTGCACCTTGAATTGTACTTGAAAATGATTTGGGAACCAATGCGATCGATCCTGATTGCCTGGATGCTTGCCGAAATGGATGGGCTCATAAATAGTGTAATTGTGTCAAAGTATTTGATCAGAATACGTGACAGCTTTTATTTTCTAAAACTAAAATGTCCCCTGAAGACTTTCATTGTCAGAAATACTGAAATAATAATAATAATAATAATACTAATAATAAAAAAAGGACGGGGGAGGCCTGAAGGGGGAAGGGTAGTGTTCAGGAAGATGACATTCCAGAACCTTAGATGGTTGTGTTTTTTGGGTTAATATTTTACTGTAGCACAAAAACATAAGGTTATTTTACTTAATTCTTATTAGGTGTTGTGTATGTATACTAAAAGAATTTGTTATATTGACAGTTTAATAGTAGTTAATATACTTCATCAAAACCGAAAGCAAATAATTTTAAAACTGGTTCATCCCTTGGGTAATATTGCATTGCGTCCATCCAACTTTTTGGATTTTTGCTAAAGCTGACTGTGCATTTGATAAATATGGTAAAGACTTGAAGTAGTAATGGGGTAAATGTGCATTGGGTGTTGAGATACTACAGTGACGGGCACAACGTAATTGCTCAGATAGATAGAAAACAGCTAGAAATATTCAAGATGATGTTGGATGGACTGTTGCCCTTCTACACCAATTGCCCTCTGTTGACCAGTTGTATCAGTCTGAAAATAGTCTGTGCTATTGCCCCCAGTTAAGTGACCCACACTGAAACGGGTTGCAGTGTATCAAAGAAACTAAAAGGTTAATTGTGTGTGTGTGGGGGGGGTGGGGGGGGAGTGGATTAGAACAGGGTCGGGCAAACTTTTTGGCCTGAGGGCTGCATTGGGTTTCGTAAACTGTATGGAGGGCCGGTTAGGGGAGGGGGTTGTGGCCCGGCCCCCACCTCCTATCTTCACCCCCCCCGACTCCTGCCCCATCCGACCCCCGCCCCATCCACAGACCCCTATCCCCGACTGCCCCCGGACTCCCCCCGCCCCATCCAACCCCACCTCTCATTCCTGACAGCCCCCTGGACTCCTGCCCCATCCAACCACCTGTTCTCCTGTCCCGATTGCCCCTGGAACCCCTGCCCCTGACTGCCCCCTGCTGCCCCATCCAACCTCTCCCTCCTTCCTGACCGCTGCCCCCATTCAACCCCCTGTTTCCCCCCAACCACCATCCATACCCCCGCCCCCTGACCTCCACACTGAACTCCCCTGCCCTCTATCCAACCCCCCTGCCCCCTTACCGCACTGCTGCAGCACCGGTGGCTGGCGGCGCTACAGCCACGCCACCACCACGTAGCACAGGATTAGAACCTTCCATCTCTGGTGATTCCAGAGAAGTTGGTGTTGCTATGAGTGAACACCAAATGTGTGCTCTCAGTTTGGGAGGGGGGGGCAAATATTGTATGGCCTCTACCTTTGAAGTTCACCCAAATACCATGGTGGTGTGTGGCTTAAAGTGTGTACATTAATGTATACACATACACACACTCTCCTTAGATTACACGATTGACTGTTTCCCAAGATAAAGTTGTATCTTCCTATGGATATCCTCCTAATTTACTGTATAAAAGGAAGAAACTGAGTAGTCAACTGGGATTACAAACTGTGGAACTATTTAGGTCAACTGTAAGAATAGGGATTCTGTTAAATCTCCTTTTATTTAATTTGTTTTTTAACATTGTTATGAGTCTAGAACATTACCTCAGAATAGGCAAATATCGTGCGGTCTGTAATGCCATTTCTAGTCCCAAAGAAATATATATTCGCTGCTAATCTTTAGAGCAAATTGCACAGGAATATCTGGTTTCAGAGTAGCAGCCGTGTTAGTCTGTATCCGCAAAAAGAACAGGAGTACTTGTGGCACCTTAGAGACTAACAAATTTATTAGAGCATAAGCTTTCGTGGGCTACAACCCACTTCTTCGGATGCACATTTTAAGATTTTGACTTCAACCCTAACTTCTGATTATGCATCAAATTGTGCAGGTGTTTGTTTAATGAGCGGTTGCATATATGTTTGTAACATGGCTTGAAAATAATTCTTTTTTTGGAATATAACTGTTGATCATAGTAATTGATGCTTGCCCCTATGTGTTGCTGATTAATTGCTCGTTCTTCCAATTCCAGGTCAAGGCGGTCATGCATATCTTAAAGAGTGGCTGTGGTGGGCTGGACTTCTGTCAAGTAAGTATCAAAAACAATAACCAGTGTTAAAAGATTTTAAATATCAAAATGTTCAAAAAAATTGTTGAATACACAATAACCAAAGCTAGAAATAGTGCATACCTATGTACACTGAGATAAAAATCCGTATTTAAAAAAATAAATTGTATTATTAGTAATATCTTTGTAATTAACATCAAATTAAAAAGAAGGTTCTTAGATATCTATCTCCATCTATCTATCGTGTGTGTGTGTGTGTGTGTGTGTGTGTAAAAGGATATATCTCCAGTGAATTTTTTCAATAGTTTTTCTTGATCAGCAGAGAATTTCACCCCTTTTTAATTTTTACCATTTATGTATTTTACTTTTTCACTTCACTAAGCTTGGGCAGTTAAACTAGACCAGTGGTTCTTAAACTTGTTTGATCTGACTCCCCTTTCTATGTGTCTTCCCTGGTACATATAGTGCCGCCCAGCTCTGAATGCAGAGCGGAGAGCAGCAGCTGCTGGCCAGGTGCCCAGCTCTGAAGGCAGCATTACACCAGCAGCAGCACAGAAGTAAGGGTGGCGATGTGAAAAGTGATATTCGTCAGTATCACTTTTCACAGCAGACTTAGCACCCCATTGCCACCCTTACTTCTGCATTGTGCTGCAGCAACTCAGGGCTGACAGCTGGAGCCCTGCTGCCTCCAGGTGAGGGATTGTGTGTGTGTGTGTGGGGGGGGGAGGAGAACAGCCCTGGAGGTAGGGCTTTGGCTTTCTCCTTTATCCCTGCCTCCTGGGTGTACGTGGCCCTTCTGCAGGAGCCCCAGCCAATACAAAATACAAAACCATTCATTGAAAAAAGTTACTTTAAAATATTTTGAAACCTCCTCTCTCTCCTTCTCTATGGTTTTGTTTCATCTTTTTACACATCTCCTAAACTTTGGACTTAAACAGTGTGACTATGCGCATTTAACTTGACTCGTAATTTATGTACTGCTTCATAGAAGATACAATTGCAGATTATTTTGCTTATGTGAGAATTAAATGACCTGAGTTAGTAGGATGGGGAAATGCAGAGGCTGTTAAATAAAAATGGGTTAGCCTAAATTAGAGGTGAGATTTATTTTTGTTATATGGAATATCTAGCTGCTAGCTTTGAGTTCTGCTTATATTAAACTTCCATGTCAGCTGAACATTTTAGTTGAATTTCTTCTCTGTGGGAACACTTGTTCAGTTTCAGAGGTTTCTCTTACATGTGTTAAGACTTCCTCATTCCTTTTTTATTCTGCAGTGGGAGCTGGTGAAGTAGCTAACTTTGCTGCTTATGCATTTGCACCAGCTACATTAGTGACTCCATTGGGAGCTCTCAGTGTTCTTGTAAGGTAAGAACTGTTTAGAAAGCACTATTTCAGAGAGGTAGAAGCGAAGTACGTATTTAGAAATGTCTATCACTTAAATGTGAGTTGTTAAATATGGCTTTCTGCTTAACTCTGACTACACTTAGTACTCATAAAAATGGAAGGAGTAGCACTGACTTAACCCAGGCATAAGATGAGTCCGCGCTCTACAAGCTGCCTTGCACAGCTCTAGCGGTGTATCTTTACCTTGACTTGCAACACCCTGCTATTCCTGTCTTCTGCATCTCTTGAGGATGGAAGCCAGTTATGATGTGCACAAATAAAAGGAAGACAAGACTAATAAACTAATTTTCATTCCTGACCAAAGTCAGGATCTTATTTGTCTTTAGAGAGTCAAGGATTTTGCACCAGCACACCACATTGTCTTGGAGAGGGATTTCATAGAGAGGATGATGTATAACATTCTCCCTTGCAATTTTGAGGAGGCAGCATAATTTAAAACAACTTTTGGGCCTCCAGACATTTACAAATAGTCTAGTGCATAGCAGACATGTTAATATAGACAATTGTAATTACGCTTAATATATTAGTGGATTTAGTCTAATAGAAATGTATGGACATGAGTAATGTTGCAGATGACTAGAGGTTGTGCACTCAATTAGATATTGAAACAAGGGAGCTGTAGAGCTTTTATCTGCATATTGAGGCAGTATGTACTTAATTCTGTATTCAGATTGTTTGCCCTCTTTGTTTATTTGGAGCCTTAACTTAGAATAACAATTAACAGCTCTTAATTACTTAGCGAAAAGTCTTTTCTGAACTTTAAGATGCTAATGTTTTTTGATGTCTGTTGTGGGCAAATTAATTAAATATCTCCTGATTCCTAATCTGTCAATGTATTTTTTCCTTTCAGTGCCATTCTTTCATCCTATTTTTTAAATGAAAAACTTAATCTGCATGGAAAAATTGGATGTTTGTTAAGTATATTGGGGTCAACCGTGATGGTCATTCATGCTCCACAAGAAGAGGAAGTAGAAACTTTGAGTGAAATGTCTCACAAGCTAGGAGATCCAGGTGAGAGAAAATGTCAAGTTCATCTGTAAGTAGCAGGGTAGCTAATGAAGGAAGATAAGTATGTTTATTCTACTTTGCTAGAAGGACTGTGGTTCATTTACTGTTGCAACTGTTGCAAATTTCTAGTACCAAAAAGTTAAAGACCACCTCGGTTTTTCTACATCTGTAAATAAAATACGAGTTTGAATTCTACAATAGACTTAGTGTGAGCTTTGAAGGATACCAGTGAATTTATTTTGTACAGAATGCCAGGATTAAACAATGAGGTCATTTTTTGTCCAAGTAAAAGTATGTTCTGAAAGAATAATAAATTAGCAGTTTAATATGTTAACCTAAGAAGCAGACAGCTATTTTCCCCTTGTTACATTTTCTGCAAAGAAACGTCATCTGTTTAAGTCAGTTTTGAGCTGATCTTAAAAAATTAAGCATAGACTGTGGGGGAGATTTACAATACCAAAGGGTTACCATTAGGACTAGTAGCTAAAATTTAGGTCAGAGTCATCTATGTTTCACATTATATTATAATAAAAATAATGAGATACCTGCTTCTTATATAGCAATTGATATCTGTAGATCTCAAAGCACTTTACAAAGAAGTTAAAGCTCCATTTTACAGATGAAACTGAGGGGTGAAATGACTTATTCGAGGGCATTATCAGCATGTCCGATCGGTGGCTTAAAATTCCTGTTGCTGAGTGAAGCACCCAAATCAAAACAAATCACAGCCAGCATTTAGATATATGCCTACACCCTCTGGTCTCCCTATACCCCTGGTTCTGTGCTTTTGAATAAGTCAAGGATTGCAGTGAAAGGGAGGCTGGCAATCTAGGATCGTATTCTTCATTTCAGAGCCTGGTAGCGAAGTAGAGTTTGGAATTGCAGGCATGCCTGCAATCGTAGTTCCATGCTTATTTTAGCCAGCTCATCAGTTGTCATAAGATTTGTTGTAGCCTCCATTTTGGATGACTGGTCGAAGAAAGATCATCATTTGAACTTGTAATTAATAAAATGAAGGGGAGGAAAAAAAGCCTATCAACCTTGACTTGTTGCCCTTAAAATATGCACGTTTCTTGGTACCTAACAGGATGCTCTTGTGTACTGTATATAAATAAGTGATTTTTTCCCCCCCTACTGCAGGTTTTGTGGTTTTTGCAACAGTTGTCGTCATTGTGTCCTTAATACTGATATTCGTGGTAGGACCTCGCCATGGACAGACCAACATTCTTGTGTACATAACAATCTGCTCTGTAATTGGAGCATTGTCAGTCTCCTGCGTGAAAGGCTTGGGCATCACTATCAAGGAACTTATTGCAGGAAAACCTGTGCTAAAACATTCTTTGTCCTGGATTCTGCTGCTAAGTCTTATAATCTGTGTGAGCACACAGATCAACTATTTAAACAGAGCTCTGGATATATTCAACACCTCCATAGTGACTCCAATATATTATGTATTCTTTACAACATCTGTTTTAACTTGTTCTGCTATTCTTTTCAAGGAGTGGCAACACATGTCTGCTGCTGACATTATTGGCACCTTCAGTGGTTTTCTCACGATCATTGTGGGGATCTTTTTATTGCATGCCTTTAAAGATGTAAATTTCACTCTAGCAAATCTGCCTGTCTCCTTGCGGAAAGATGACCGAGCAATCAATGGCACTCTGCCAACCACATATGAATGCTTTAATCATGATGAAGAAAGCTCAACCTGTGTAGGTGAAATACAATCCAGTGAGAATGTCCCATCCAGGAGAAATGGAAGTCTGGCAGCATTCTGAAAATGTGTTAAGAAAAGAACAATTTTGTAACTTTTTTTTTTTTTTTTTTTTGCTGTAAAATGTCTGAGTTTGAGTTTGGAAGCAGATGATGTACTTGAACAATATGTACAGACAATCGTAAATTTTTAGGTTTGATTAGTTTGGGCCAAGAATAGTGATGGAGTTTTAATTTGCCTTATTTTTACTTTAAAAAGACGCACTGCAATGACCTCAGTACATGGTTTGTTTTTGTTGCTCTAAGTTATCTGTGTAAACTTGTAAATATTTTTTATTTGAATTTTCCATTTTAAAGACTTATTGCACTAATAACAATTTTAACTATATCAAAAATAAATTGCTTTAATTTTGCATTGGTGGTAAGCACATTGACATGAACCTGAATCTTTTGCATAATGAATATTCACCATGTCTGTTTCAGCACATGGAAGAGTAAGACTAATAATCTGGAATGCACTGAAAGTTGTAGGGAGCAATTTACAGCGGATGTCACTAAAGTGGCTAATTACAGCACTTGTGGGAAGCATATAACTAAACTAGTTAAACTGACTACTATTGAGGCATTAGTAAACTTGAAACAGTAAAGACTCAGGAAGTATACATTCAGAATGGTTTGTTATTTAAACTGATTTAAAGAGTTTTTAAATTGTTTGATCATACTTCAGCGGGAAAGGAAATTGTACAACCTAGCAAATCTTCAAGATCAATTTAATATCAAAAGTTAGGTAGAATGTAAAAGGTAAGTACTAACTAAAAAGGATATCCATCACTTATACACTGATTATCTAATGTTTATTAGTCAGACATGTATTCTTTCCTCCCTAACAAATCTAACTCACTGTCTTGTAGTGGGTTTTTAACTCTGTTAGCAACAACTGAACACTTGCTGGGTGTCATTTTCTCAAGAAACAAATAAAACCCTAGACGGTTAGGAGTTGCCCTTCCAAGACCATTTGCAGGCTTGAGCTACTGCTACGTTAAAGCTTCCCACAGCTGCAGTTCTCCACAGAAGTGTATTTTATTTGTGGAAATACAAAGCTAGCACTAGTAGTATTAAGTTAAATGGATGTAGTTTAGGGGGGGAAATTTATAAAAGGCAAATCACAGTGTTTGAATGCACTTTATCATTTCTCAATCAGTGGGAGTCAGTTCTTAAAAGTCCTGCTGCAACCTTGGAAAGGTCATTGCCAACTATGAGCAAGAATATCTCAGATATATCTTAACTAGTGCAGTGAATCACAGGTAAGATGTGGTCATCTCTCAGGTAACTCGTGCCCAGATCATTCACTGATTTTAGTGATAGCCACTTTAAAGACCTTCTCCAAGGAGAGTGCATAGTGTAGTTTTGGTGGGCAGGTGATAAAGATGAACAAACTTTATTAGAAAAATAGTTCTAACCTCTTGGGGAAGTACCATGGACTACTTAAGAATTCAGGGATGGCTCTAATAAGAGACAAAGCATCTGACTACAAGGAACACACATTCCCCCATCATAAGCAATATCAATACTTGATTCTGTGTATATTTTGTTATGAAATGTTTTTGTTTTACAAAGTTATTCCACATCTTTAACTCTGATCTGGAATGCAGCATGTCCCTATTTCCCCTCTTTGTGGCTCTTGGCCCCTTGGAAATAACTTGCCCATCACTTAAATATTAATAGTGCTATCAAGTGGGACACTTCTGATTGTGAGGAAAACACGATCAAGTACTGCTGAATAACTCTCATTCAAAGTAGCTTAAATGGAAACTTACTTTACAGACCAAACCTGTATCTACAATTATGACAGTTGAAAAGTCGATCATTTTGAGCCTATTACATTCCTGGAAAAAAGGTAACAATCAAATCCCTATAGTAGCTCCCTGAAAGTATGAGCATTACTGGACACGCAATAAACCAAGATAACATTTTCACCAATTGTAGCTGAGTTGAAATGTTTGACAATTAAATGTTGAATTATTTTTACATAAGGAGTATTAATAAATGGGGTACATTCAGTTAATTAAAAATACCCACCAAAATGCACTTTTGACACCACCTTGGCTGGGTAGGGTTTTAGTTATTGACTGTATCCCTTTGTTTCCTACTTACAGTTTAATGTGCAGTTAAAGGCCATACTGAATCAGGGATGCCTGACAAGTTAACTTGCTAATATAGGCTTTTGTACATGCTTTGAATAGTGGTAATTCCTGTAAGCTTCAATTATTGTGCTAGGGTCCTTTGCTTGATAAGCTACTAAAAGTGCATTTATTATAGCCTTCACCCAAGGCTATCCTTCTGCTTATCAAACACTAATGAAGCCTTACAACCCTCACTTGCTGTGACTCAAGAATGTGTACTACCCTTTACAGATATTAAGTGTTTTGTTTGCAAGGGTATGTCTACACTATGGGATTAATCCAAATTTATATAATTCGAATTTGTAAAACAGATTGTATGAAGTCGAATGTATGCAACCACACTAAGCACATTAATTCGGCGGTGTGCATCCATGTACCGGGGCTAGCGTTGATTTCTGGAGCGTTGCACTGTGGGTAGCTATCCCATAGTTCCTGCAGTCGCCTCCGCCCATTGGAATTCTGAGTTGAGATCCCAATGCCTGATGGGGCCAAAAACATTGTCGCGGGTGGTTCTGGGTATATCCTCCCCCCTCTCCAGGAAGCAACGGCAGACAACCGTTTCGCGCCTTTTTCCTGGGTGAACAGTGCAGATGCCATACCACGGCAAGCATGGAGCCCGCTCAGCTCAAGACAGCAGTCATGAACATTGTAAATACCTTGCGCCTTATCGTGCAGTTTATGCTGAACAAGAACCTGGAAAACCAGGTGGCGAGGAGCAGGCTACAGCAGCGCGGCGAGGAGAGTGATGAGGATATGGATATGGAATTCTATCGAACCGCGGGACCCGGTGCTTTGGAGATCATGCTGTTAATGGGGCAGGTTATAGCCGTGGAACGCCGATTCTGGGCCCGGGAAACAAGCACAGACTGGTGGGACCGCATAGTGTTGCAGGTGTGGGACGATTCCCAGTGGCTGCGAAACTTTTGCATGCATAAGGGCACTTTCTTGGAACTTTGTGACTTGCTTTCCCCTGCCCTGAAGCGCCAGAATACCAAGATGAGAGCAGCCCTCACAGTTGAGAAGCGAGTGGCAATAGCCCTGTGGAAGCTTGCAACGCCAGACAGCTACCGGTCAGTCGGGAATCAATTTGGAGTGGGCACATCTACTGTGGGGGCTGCTGTGATGCAAGTAGCCAAAGCAATCACTGAGGTGCTGCTACAAAAGCTAGTGACTCTGGGAGATGTGCAGGTCATAGTGAATGGCTTTGCTGCAATGGGATTCCCTAACTGTGGTGGGACGATAGATGGAACCCACATCCCTATCTTGGCACCGGAGCCCCAGGGTACCCAGTACATAAACCACAAGGGGTACCTTTCAATGGTGCTGCAAGCACTTGTGGATCACAAGGGACGTTTCACCAACATCAACGCAGGCTGGCCGGGAAGGGTTCATGATGCTCGCGTCTTCAGGAACACTACTCTGTTTAAAGGGCTGCAGCAAGGGACTTACTTCCCGGACCAGAAAATAACCGTTGGGGATGTTGAAATGCCAATAGTTATTCTTGGAGACCCAGCCTACCCCTTAATGCCATGGCTCATGAAGCCATACACAGGCAGCCTGGACAGGAGGCAGGAGCTGTTTAACTACAGGCTGAGCAAGTGCAGAATGGTGGTAGAATGTGCATTTGGCCGTTTAAAAGGTCGCTGGCGATCGCTACTGACTCGCTCTGACCTCAGCCAAAGAAATCTCCCCATTGTTATTTCTGCTTGCTGTGTGCTCCACAATCTCTGTGAAAGTAAGGGGGAGACCTTTATGGCAGGGTGGGAGGCTGAGGCAAATCGCCTGGCTGCTGATTACGCGCAGCCAGACACCAGGGCGATTAGAAGAGCACACCAGGAAGCGCTGTGCATCAGAGAAGCTTTGAAAATCAGTTTCATGACTGGCCAGGCTACAGTGTGAAATTTCTGTTGGTTTCTCCCTTCATGAAAACCCGCCCCCTTTATTGACTCATTCATTCTCTGTAAGGAACCCACCCTCCCCGTTCCCCCAGCTTTCTTTCAAAGGAAATAAAGTCACTATTGTTTAAAAATCATGTATTCTTTATTAAGTGATTATAAACATAGGGAGAGAACCAAGAAGGTAATCTGGGTGAGGTTTGGGAGGAGGATAGGAGGGAAGTAAAAGGCCACTGAACAAATTCAATATAATGACAGCCTTTTGGTTGGGCTGTCCACTGGGGTGGAGTGGGAGGGTGCACGGAGCCTCCCCCACCACGTTCTTACACGTCTGGGTGAGGAGGATATGGGACATGGTGAGGGAGATTATACAGCGGCTGCAGCGGCACTCTGTCATCCTGCTGCCGTTCCTGAAGCTCCACCAGACACCGGAGCATGTCCGTTTGCTCACGCAGCAGCCCCAGCGTTGCAGCCTGCCACCTCTCATCTCGAGCGTCCCTCATGACCTCACGTTCACTGGCATCTTTCCTAAATTTAGATACAGTGTCCTTCCACTCATTCAAATGAGCTCTTTCATTGTGGGTGGATTCCATTATTTCTGTGAACATGTCGTCTCGCGTCCTCTTTCTACGCCGCCTTATCTGAGATAGCCTTCAGGACGGAGGAGGGAGGCTTGAAAAATTTGCAGCTGCTGGAGGGAGGGTTGAAAGGAGTGAATTTTTTAAATTGATACATTTTACAGAACAATACTTATACTCTTTCATGGTGAAAAACACTATTCACATTACATAGCACATGTGATTTCAGTACAAGGTCGCATTTTCCATCTTAATATTGAGTGCCTGTGGCTTTGGTGTTAGAGATCACAGACGCAGGTCCGGGCAACAGAATTCAGCTTGCAGGCAGCCATGGTAAGCCATTGTCTTTCGGCTTCTGCGCCCTCCTTTCCCACATACCAAGCAAAGTCTGTTGACTGCTGCGGTTTTCCTGTTAACCTTCAGCAGCAGAAAACAAACTAACCCCCCCCCCCCATCCAATTCTCTGGGATGATCGCTTTATCCCTCCCCCCACTGCGTGGCAGGTATCAGGGAAGATCCCTGCAGAAACCAAACTAACCCCCCCTCTCCCCATGAATTCTCTGGGATGATCAATGTACCCCTCCCCCGACCGCGTGGCTGGTAACAGGGAAGATCCCTGCTAGCCAAACGCGAAAAGCTCA